GTCCTTCTTCCCTTTTTTGAAGATGGGCACTACATTTGCCTTTTTCCAATCATCCGGGATTTCGCCCGATCTCCACGACTTTTCAAAGATAATGGCCAAAGGCTCCTCAATGACATTTGCCAACTCCTTCAGTACCCTTGGGTGCATTAAGTCTGGACCCATGGATTTGTGTACGTTTAGTTTTTCTAAATAGTTCCTAACCTGTTCTTTAACCACCACCGGCTGTCCATCGTCATTCCATCTTGCGTCACTTGGCGCAGAAGTCCAGGAGCCGACCTTGTCCGTGAATACAGAGGCAAAGAAAGCATTGAGTACTTCAGCTTTCCCCACATCCTCTGTCACTAGGTTACCTCCTTCATCCATTAGGGACTGCACACCCTCTCTGATCACCTTCTTGTTGACATGCCTGTAGAAACCTTTCTTGTTATCCTTTACACCCTTAGCTAGTCGCAACTCCATTTGCGCTTTCGCCTTCCTGATAACCCCCCGGCATTCTCGAACTATACATTTAAACTCCTCCCTAGTCATTTGTCCAAGTTTCCACTCCATGCTCTGGGCCTCCCCACTGCAGCACTAGGCTCCCGAAGGCTCCACAGATGCCACCTGGCACCCCCTCCCAGTGGAACGCGTCTCAGGCCTGCAGCTGTTATCAGCCCTCTGACTGCTTGCAGCCTGCTCCTTGTTCTCCAAAGAGAATAATGCCCCAACAGGGCTGGTACCCCGCACCCTCAGTGACCCTTGGACTGCGTGAGCACCTCATCTCCTTGCCAGCAGTAACAGCGTGTGCATCTGGACTGCCTCTTGTCTTGGGGGCCCTGGCGCAGCACTGCGACCCCTGCCCTGCCACTGGGCTGGAGCAGGGCAGCCAGAAGGACAGCAAATACTACCCCTGGCTCCAGAGCTGACCCCACCCTGGCAAGCACTGCCAGGGACTCAGAGCACACTGCAGAGCTCCCGTTCTCAGCCCCAATGGCTCTGCTGAGAGCCTGGCCTGCACATAGCTAGGCAGACGCTG